TGCTAGGTCAAAATCTGATCCCCTACATAGTGTGTCCAGGACATAGCCACCACCACTCCTATGACACCCCAGAAGTGGAAAGCAGTGAGATGAGACTGAAGCCTCGGGGGAAGCCCTGTGTGCACAACTTGGTTACAACAGCACGTCCTGAGGACATTGCACAAGGCCAGCTGGAGACACTTGTTAATGAGAATCTTGGTACACAGAGAATGAGAAATGTGACCTTTAGAAATTCAAATCAGGCTTGGCACATGTGTCTTCCAAATGACTGCTGTGACTCCTGTCAGGGCTCATGTGGATATGGGGTATGTCTCAATGGCAGGCTCGCTGCTTGTTTTCCATGTGCTGCGACCCAGCCTCCTCCCTGCCACAGCAGCACAAGCCCTCTGCTCCACGTGTCCCTGAGCGTGTCAGGCCATGCTCACACACTGAGCTGGGCTCTGTGACTCTGGGAGCTCCAGCTCTGCACCCTCCACCTGCCCACCCGGCCGGCAACGTGAGAGCGAGCCCCGTGCGTGTGCCCAGCTGTGTGCACAGCTCTGCTGCAGTTCCTAGCAACTGAACTGCAGCCTCCCCACCAATCTACTCTTCCCTGTGCATCAGCTTGCTTACTCAAATACACCTCACTGCTGTCCAGCCTTCTCTTTTCACCCAGACGGCTCCAGCTCTTCCCTTATTTACCCTTTTCCTTTCCTCTTGCCTCAATGAGATACATTTCTGCTTTTGCTCACTCCTGATATCAAACCCACTGTAAAGGACTGTGATTTATGTGGAAAGAAGGGACACCAGAAGGAAAAATACCTAAACACGTCCATAGGACTTACTGCAGAAAGGTTATTGGAGCATCTGGGGAAAAGGATTTTCTACCAGGTAACTGGTCTAACTCTCCCTTAAAATCCTGTCTCTCTTAGGGAAAGTTTTACTGAATGATCCCTCTCTTGCTCAGAAGGGAGTTCATGAGTTTACAAAATACTCTTGCAAGCTGTGGAGGAGAAAAATAAAAAAATCCCTCAAAATATAGAGTAGAACCTTAAACCCAGCATCAGGTTTCATAGCTTAGATTTGTGCGCATCTGAGTCAATTATCCAATAGTCTGATCTGGGGAAAGCCCAGGAAGAGGGTGGAACAGGGTATTTAATTTTATTATGGGAGAAGTTATTACAGAAGTTCTGGCCTGCAGAGATTGTCTCCATGCAAGGTTTAAGTTTGATTGAGAGTCAAAATCTTACCACTTCCTTTAATTCCTCCTTTTATTTTCTCCACTTTACATAATCCACATTGTATTTCCAGGGAAGTAGGTAGAAAATCAAACAAGTTAAGAAAAGTTACATTGTCTCATTAATGGCAACTTGGAATACATCAGTAATAAAACAAGCAAAACAGTGTATTACTACAGAGTTTTGCTTCAAGAAGTGAAAACTCCAAAAGGAGGAGAAGGATATAGTGAGAAAACTACAATTTGTGGCACAGTTACATGTGAGAAAAAGGATTCTGAACCACAGATGCTGAAAAAAATCAAACACATTACCAAAAAATCAGAAGAAAAAGAAGGGAAATAACCA